TTGGGTTACATCAAGGACCAGCCTTAAGCCCATATCTATTTGCTTTAGTCATGGATGTTCTCACTAGACATTTGCAAGAGGATGTACCTTGGTGTATGTTTTTTGCTGATGATATTCTTCTTGTTGATTAGATTAGAGAGGGAGTTGAAGGTAAACTTGAATTATGGAGATCAACCTTAGAGTCTAAAGGTTTTCGCTTGAGTAGATCTAAAATGGAATATATAGAGTGTAATTTTAATAGTAATAGTCCTAGTGAGGGGATTGTGACTTTGGACGATCAAGTCATTAATAAGAGTACACGTTTTAGATATCTTGGATATATTGTTTAGAGTTATGGTGAAATAGATGGAGATATTATCAGTAGAATTCAAGTTGGATGGTTGAAGTGGAGGAATGTGTCGGGCTTGTTGTGTGATAGAAAAGCATCCCTCAAACTCAAGGGAAAATTCTATAAGATGGTGGCGAGGCCTGCAATGCGTGATGGTGCCGAATGTTGGTCATTAAAAGAGAAGCATAATACTAAGTTAATTGTGACAGAGATGAGGATGCTCAGGTGGATGAGTGGCTTTACCCTTAGAGATATGATACAAAATGAGCATATATGTAAAAAAGGTTTGGGACGGCTTTTTTCTTGTTTCTTAAAACAATTTTTTAGTATAAAAATTTTAATTTTTATATTAGAAAGCTCTATAAGAAGTAATAAAAAAACCGTCCCTTAGGCTTTCGTTTTGGACTGTTTTTTTATTACTTCAAAAATTAAAATTTGTATACTAGAAATTTACTTTAAGAAGTAATAAGAAAGCAGTCTTAAACGAAGCCTTAATCTTTTGTAGATTTTTAACCCATTATCGTTAACATAATTAGGTATTTTGGTGATGAATTTAAGTTTTGTTTGGTACAATTTTTTTTTTAAAGTAATCTTTTTGTACAAATTTTAAAAAAATTATACTAAAAACTTGTTTTATAAAATAAAACAAAAAGTAATATTTCATTTAGGATAACTTTCTTCTTGCTTTTTAAAACAACTTTCTAGTACAAAAGTTTCTTGAATTTGACATTTTTATATTAGAAAGTCGTTTTAAAAAGTAGTACGAAAATTGTTTCAAATGAAGCCTAAAATGTCTCAAGTAGGTGGACATTGTCTATTTTTACTAGATGTTGCGGCCTTCCAATGATCCGGTTAGGAGAGTAGATATATTAGATTTGACTTATGTTAAAAAAGGTAGAGTCAGACCTAAAAAGACTTGGTCAGAAAATATTAGGAATGACCTTTCTTTATTAGATTTAAACGTGAATTTGACCTTTAATAGGACATAATGGAGAAAAAGGATTCATGTAGCCGACCCCACGTAGTGGGATAAAGGCTTGATGTTGTTGTTGTTGTTGTTGTTGGATGTTAGAGAACATTGAAATTTTGGTTAAAATTAGCTCAGGCTTTGTTTGAGATAATTTTCTTATTATTTTTTAAAGCAAATTTTTAATATAAAAATTGAAATTTTTATACTAAAAATTTACTTTAAAAACAATAAGAAAATTGTGCCAAACGAAGTTGCAATCATTATCTTTATAGGAGAGGGGGTTGGAAAATTTGGTTGGCAGACATCGAATGTCTAAGGAAGGTAGGAATATGTCAAATGTCTATTATTAACTAACCTCATATGGATGACTAAAGTTGAGTGATAGCATATCTATTGATAAATGCTAGTTTATTGTAGATGTTAAGCAACATTTGCATTGGGGTTAATATGATCATTTCACATAATTATCTTAGAATATTCACATAGCATAAAAGATTTAGAGAGCAATCTATATTATAAATTCAAATATAACATGAGTCGAATAATAAATGAAATAGGGTTGAATAGAGTATGTAATAGAGAGATCATAGCATATATAACATAACAAATTCAACTATAACATAGTTAACTAATATATAATTGCAGTTAATCTATGCAACATAATAGTTTTGAAGGTGGTGGAGTACGATTAGCATTATCGGTAATTCAATTATGATATTTAACTCCACATTAATTATACTTAGGGGTGTCAATATTTGACACGACTCGAAAAACGACCCGAAAAAGTTCGGGTTAGGGTCAACCTCGGGTTCAACAAATCAATCCGTTTGAAAAACCGGGTCGGGTTCGGGTTGACCCAGCATCCCAAAAATGAACCGAAATTGACATGATAACTCCTATTTGACCCGGAAACCCGAGATTGACCCGAAAATCGAAGATTGACCCGATTTTTACCCTGAAAACTAGCAATTTTAGGTCAACTTCGGGTCATTCGTGTCGGGTCGGGTTGACCCGGAAGTCGGGTTCGGGTCCGGAAACCTGACTCGTTTTTAAAAACGGGTCTGGTTCGGGTTGAGCCGAATAGTGCCGGGTTAGTTTTGGGTTCGACCCGAACCCGACCCATTGACCCGAATTGACACCCCTAATTATATGTACGATGGACTGCAATATTCTCTCCCTTTAAATACCTTTTATTTATTTACCACTCATAAGCTTTTTCAATAAGAGTAATGCAATAACTGTATTTATTTCATATATAATTTTTTGGGTGTTATCTTTTTGATTATATCTATGTTTTTAATGTATACAGCTAATCGTACTTTTTGTGTATAGAATTTTGAAATAATGAATAATAATTGATAGTTTTATCCCAAGCTATAGTTGATGCATATTCGGATGAAAAACCCATAAAATCAAATTTTCTTACATGTCCATAACCTCTCTTTTATATTAACATCACCATTAAGGATATGCAATTGAACTTGACTTCTAGGGTAGAAAATCATGTTTTATTCAAGAGTTCCTTCAATGATTATGTGATTTCTTTTTTTTTTTGTTATATATATAGTTTTTAAGTTCATTGTAATGTTGCAAATATCGAAAAACTATTTTTGCATTGTGTGTCGTAATATTTTAACAATATAGTTCGAATGGGAGCGAGCACTCTTGGTGATATTTAGCGGTGTCAAAATAGGTTTTCGGGTCAGGTTTGGGTCAAATTTGAAATTGACGCGCTCTTAACTCGTCCGATATGAACTCGACCTATTTGTCCAAATGGGTTAAACAACAAGACCATAGCTCAACTTGGCACCAACTTGACGTCCTGACCGGGCCCACTAACTCGCTAGTGCGAGTAGGCGAGCATCGAGCGAGAGCGAGGGTGACGTCGCGAGAGCATGAAGGCGAGTCCAAGAGCGTAGGCGCAAGTGCGAGTGCCAGCGCGAGCGTGAGGGCGACAAGGCGAGGGTCGTGACTTGCGAGGCGAGTTACTATTGAGTAGGTTCGGGTCAAACAAGTTGATTTCAGGTTTATAAATTAACCCAAAACTGATCGATATATCAATCGGATTGAAAAATTAAATCCAAACCCGACCCGTTTGCTAAACGGCTCAACCCAAACCTAAAAATTTCGAGTCAGATTTTCGAACCGTGTGATATATTGACACCCATAGTGATATTATTGAAGTCTAAAAAATACTAACGGTTATCAAGTTGCATAAGTTTTCAAAGAAGAAAGCAATAGCTTATCACTTATAGCTAACTTCATTCTTAAGATAAGATAATATGGATGGGTTCATAACACATTCTATCAA